AAAAAGTAACTAATCAAAGAAGTCACAAATCTCTACAAGATCCAAAAAGATTCAATCCAATATCAAATAAAATAAAGATCATAATATTAAATAAGATATCAAGCAGAAATAAGAAACAGTTGCTGCCTAGGTTATAAATAAACTTTAAGTTACTAGTGCTGTAGAAAAAGCAGTAATCAAAAGTGCGTTTGGAAATGGCATAGTCAGTGGAGGTTCTGTAAATCTAAATAAGAAATTCGTACAATTGCAAAAAAGTAGTCTGAAATAGTTAGTCACATATTTCAGAGGCTTTAAAGATCAAATTAATGAACTCCTCTAGGGATTATACCATTAAAGCAAGCAACTTCTTTTAGATATTGAGAATAAAGAAGAGAAAGCAGTTGAGCTTGCTCAAGTATAGAATAAGGTTGATTAGCAAAAGCCAAATATATAACAAAGTAAAAAAGACAGAGAAACATCTGAGAGGAAGAATGAAAAATCTTCAAGCTCTGATTCTTCAAGTGAATCTGAAAGAGAAGTTGGTAAAAAAGCCACTATGATAATCAACGGCAAAGAAAAAAGCATTCCTGAGTCAGCTATTGTTAAACCAGGATAGTCTGATGATTCCTCATCGGATAGCGATAGCTAGGACGAGAAAAATGATAAAATGAAGACAGATGATAAATCTAAAAAGTAGTTAGATAGTAACTAAATTGCAGTGAAAAAAAGAGGAAGGCCTAGAAAGTTAGATTAGGGAAATAAAGATGCTCCAGTTGTTAAGCGAGTAAAGTATGATGAAAATGGATAAGTTATTAAAATTAGAAAACCAAGGAAGAACAGACAGACCTAGCCTTTAGATGACGACAATTCTAAAGTAAGGAAATTGGATAAGCATGATCAAAGCTAAGATAAAGATTTAAAGCTATTGCCAAAAAAAAGAGGAAGAAAGCCAAAGAATGCAATAAATGATGAAGATGAAGACATTGAGAAAATGCTAGAAGAAGAAGTTAATTAAAGAGAGAGGAAGATGCAGAACTACAAAGGTGTTGAAGAATCAAGCAGCTAAGAAGAATAAATTAGAAAATCAAAGTATAGCGAGTCATCCTCTTCTGGCTCATCTTAAAATTGAATATTATTTATTATAATTTCCCTTTAATTTCATTAAATTCCTATATGCGGGGTTTTGGGGTTTTGGGG